ATTTTATACTACGCAGGATGCTACGACTATTCGAGAGTGGCATATGAGTACAAGGGGCTTTGCATTGTTCCTCAAGAACCTGCCTCACCGAGAGGCACATACCAAGTCCGTCGGTAGAGTGACGTCATGCCGAACGCGGAGATGAAGAGCAACATATGGCCACTTCGGACCGGTAGCCATCGTGAAGGCATGCCGCGAGGTTCGATACCTAATCGGGAAAGACCGGCTACTTCGGTGTGGCTTGGAGCGAAGCGCGCGCTTGGCCGAGCGGCGTCAAGTGGCCCTATTGTTCGCCGAATGCGGAAGATGTTCTGAGGTCTACGCACGAGGCATCGGGAAGACCGTGCCGAGCTTCGAGTAAGCGTCGCGCACCGTCGAAGGTGTCGAAGAGCGTCGAAGGCGAAATCGACGTGTTGGGAGACTGAGTCGAAGTGCCGGGCGGGATGCGAGTGCCGAAAAGAGGTGAATCGGGGCCCAGAGGGGCTTGGCGCCTATCATCTCCTCCCTATTGAAATTTGGACCGCCCTCGGTCCTCCACGTGATGCGAGAAGCGCGATGGTCGTGAACGGATCGAAGCGGAATGGCAACCCGCGTAGACTTCGAACGCCACGTGGCCGGCGCTAAATGCTGGTCGGAAAGGGGTTATAAGCAGGGTAGACTTAGCCTTATTTTCCCCATCCCATCGTTCCTTCGTCGCTACCTCGCCGTCCCTTCCCACATACTCGCTGCTTTCTACGATGTCTGCTCGCTCCACCACCCCTGCCTCGACGCCTTCGCTCGTCAACCGCCGCCTCGCTTCACTGCTCATGGTCCTCGAAGCTCCGCCGACCGCCGATGCCGCGCTCGACGTGGTCGAAGAGTGGGCGCAGGATTTGTCGCCGCTGGTCGTAAGTCGCTTCGTAATCTGCATAACCCAACTAACCGTTTGTTTTCGAACAGCTCGCCTATCGCAAGGCCTTGGGCGCCATCCGCGACGAGGAGACGGAGCTGCGCGTCGCCGCCGCCGTCAAGCAACTCGCCGAGCGGGCATCGGAATCGTGGGTCGAGTGGGCGCGCGGGGACTGGCCCGAGCTCACGACCGCCATCAATGCCGAGGTCGAACGACGCTTCGAAGAGCAGAAGCGCCTCGCCGAAGAGGAAGCACGACGCATCGAAGAGGCCGCGAAGCGTGCGAAGGCCGCCGAGGAACGTCGCCTTGAAGACGAACGGCGTCGGAAGGAGGAAGAGGAACGGCGCCTCGAAGACGAACGTCGCGCGCAAGAGGCCGCTGATGAGGAGTTGGCGCGGATCGCGGCCGCCGAAGGCCTTCTTTCTGACCCCGCGCCTGCCGGTGTCGACAAGGGGAAGGGGCGCGCGAGGGTCGACGAGGAAGTCGCCGAACTGTCGGATGACCCTTCGATCGTAAGTATTTTCTTCTATCGTCGTTCGGTGACTAATCTCTCTTTCGTAGAAGACTCCTCGGACGGTCGAACGTCCGCTCGCAATGACTGAGGTCGACATGGCCGCCGCGGCGATTGAGAAGCGCCAGTCGGGACAGAAGGTAAGCTCGACTCTTCGTCGAAGCGGTTCGAAGCTAACTCTTCGATAGTGCGACCGTTGCGCCGGCTACCGCTCGGCCCCGGTCGATTGCGTGTGGGCCGAGAACGCTACGACCTGCGATAGGTGCGTGCAGTTCCAACAGGGCTGCTATTTCGACAAAGTGTCTGTCCTGGGCAAAACAAAGAAGACGCGCGGCGGGGGATCAACCACCAAAAAGCGCAGTAAGTCGTTTCTTCTTGTCCTAGGCCTTCGCTGACGACTTCGTAGTTCGGCCGGCCTCTCCTGGGCCTTCGGTCGCAGACGCGAGTGGTTCGAAGAAGCGCCGAGTCGACGAGCCTCCGCGACCCCTTCTACGACGGCCTCTCGATGGGGCCAGCCGCCTTGGGCTCGATCGCGAGGAGCGTGCTCACATCGCGCGCCGTCGAGTGCTCCTCCACGACATGGACCTCGACCTTCAAAAGATGGAGAAGGACGCGCTCGCGAAGGGTGGAATCGGGTTCGTGCGTGGTGTTGTTGACGAGGACTAGGCGCGAGTCGTTTTGTATCGTAGTCGTACTCGTGTCGTAGAATTTTGCGTAGATGGTCGAATGGAAAATGCGGCCCTTGGCCTAGACGGACCTAGCGGGAACTAAGAGAAAAGGACATGAAAATAAGTGTGTTCGAAGCAAGTCGTAATATGATCGAAGGACATAGAAGGAAAAATAGAAATGTTCGTAGCAAGGGAAAATGGACTTGATGAAAATATAGGCTCAGTTTGTCATCACAGCCTAGGAGGACTCGTCTAAGGTGAGCCTCCGCGCAACGGTCGAATCGAAGCGTTCGTAGAACGTTGAACGATGTCGCGGCTATCAAGTTGAATCGAAGGTATTCGTACAAAGGATGGTCTGGAACGTAGGAGAAAATCAAACATATCGCGTAACGTGAGAGCCGGAATGGAGAGACGAAAGTACGTATCGTGGTGTAAGAGTAACAAAAGGGAAGAACCTCTATTCGTCGCGTTCTTCAGCTTCTTCGACTTCATCATCGTCGTCGTCGCCTAGCGAATTTGATAGTTCGAGTTCTCGAAGACGCTCGGTCGAGACATCTTTGAGATCTTCGGGGATTGGAATGGATTTGCGCGTGAAATACGGAATGACGCGGAAGGCTGCGATGGGTCAATCGAGGACTGTACCGTTGAGTTCGCACACGATGTACGCGCTGCCCTTGTTGCGCAAGACAACGATGAGGGGGCCTAGATATCGCGGGCGCATCTTGCGGTTGAGGGACTTCTCGATCTTCGTGTTGCGTATGAGCACTAGGGCTCCGCGCTTGAAGTCAAAATCCTGGATTGAGTGCTCGTGCTCTTTCTCGAAGCGAATTGCTGCAGTTCGACGTGCTTCGTAGACCTTCGAGTGTAGTTCGGCGACTTGCTCGACGCATTTCTGGAGCGCAATGGCCCTACGGGCGATGAGATCGGTCGTCGAAAGGACCGAAGTCGGTGGTGGCTGCAGGTACGTAGCTTCGACGATGTCAAGAGGAATGAGCGGATGGGTGCCCGTAACAGCGAAATAGGGTGAGCAGCCCATGCGTCGTCGAGTTGTGATGCGCTCGGACCAAAATACAAAATACGCAGCTTGGGACCATTTCTTCTCATCTCCGTTGGCTGTCTTAAACAAGGCTTGTCGCGTGCTAAAGTGCGGACGTTCGACGAGACCGTTCGCCCTCGAATTGTACCCACTGATTCGAATATGGTTGATGTGATACTTCTTCGAAAGGTAATCGGCTGCCTTGATGAACGCCGTACCGTTGTCGGTGACGATCTCACTGAGCGCGCCCCATCGACAGAGGATGTCTTCGAAGATCCAGTCGGCGAGGGCCTTCGCTGTCTCTTTTCGAAGCATTCGAAACTCGGGGTAAGTCGTGAGCGAGCATCTACCTTGGACCAAGTACTTGTATCCGCCCGAGGCTGGCATGTGCATTGTGTCGATGTGAATTTTCGCGAAGATGGGGGCTGGTACTGCGACGGTCGGAGGAATGAGGATTTGACGCACTTGTCGAGACTGGCAGATATGGCACGATCGAACGAACCAGGCGATGTCGGCGTAGTGGAACGGCCACCAGAATCGCTCATTAACGAAGGCTCGGGTTGCATAGATTCCTCGATGCGCGGTGCGATCGTGGCATTCTCGAAGTATTCGAAGGCGATCGCCGGGCTTGACGACTAGCTTGTGTGCTCCGTGACTGTCCTTGCGCCAGAGGGTGTCATTGTCGAGGAAGAATTGCATGCAGTACTTGATGAATCCTTCGTAAACGCTTTCGGAGATGCCGTCGGGCTTTGCTAACGTTCGATGAAATTCGAGCACGTCGTCGAGCTTTGCATCTGCGAGTTGTGCTTGCTCCGATCTAGGCACTAGCTCGTAGCTATCCTCCTCCCTATTGAAATCTGAGCCGTCCTCGGCTCTGCCATTGGTGAAGACGGCAAGCGAAGGGACCGGTGGGAGGGGCTGAATCTGGTGAACGAAAGAGTGCATCTGGTCGATCCAATCGTCGAACTCCTCGTCGACCTCGTCTTCGATGACATCACCGGGTTGAGCTGTGCGCCGAGAGAGACCGTCGGGGCCGTGCATTGTACCGGGGACGTGGACGAGCGTGAAATGAAACGTGAGAATCGAGACGATCCACCGGTTAATACTCGCGCTTGGGGCTATGTCCGGATTCTTCAGCATACCCTTGATGTACCGAGCATCGACTTCGACGATGAGGTTCCGAACGCCGATCAGGTAGAGTCGAAGGGATCGTAGTGCGCTGAATAGGCCGTAGATCTCAAGCTTCGGCTGCGAAAACCTTCGTTCGCGATCGTTGAGCGTAATCGAGCCGAACCTGCTGTAGTAACGGACTCGCGTGTTGGCTTCGTCGCACTGGCAGAGGTGATATCCGACGGCGATGAACGACGTGTCGACTGCGAGAATGACGGGAGAGGGGGAATCATAACTAATTGCTCGGAGTGCGGGGGATGAGAGTAGCGCGTCCTTGAGGTCTTCCTGCGCCGCGATCTGCTCCGGACCGAACTCGAACTCGACGTCCTTCCTCGTGAGGCGTACGAGTGCGTCGGCGCGGTGAGCGAAATTACGGATGAAGATTCGAACGACGCCGATGGTTCCGAGGAACGCTCGAACGTCGGATAGAGTAGCGCAGGGACCCCAGTTGCGTATTGCTGCGACGCGAGAGTCGTCGGGGAGGCGTCCTTGAGGAGTGCAGCGATGTCCTACCACCATGATTTCTCGAGCGATGAGGATACTTTTGACTCCAGAGAAGGTACCTCCGGCATAGCGCATTCGAGTGACTATGTGATTCATGTTCTCGAAATGCTCCCATACGAAGCGTCAAATGCCGCGGTTCGAAGGGAGCCGCTCGTCGTCGTAGTCGCATTCGGGACCCTTGACGGGTACGTCGTCGACGTAGGGCACCGTAATGTGCGGAATCTCGGGCTGGAGGATGTAGGTGACGTCGTCGTGGAAGATTGGGACTGAGTTCGTCCAACCCATCGGGAGGGTGACTAGACGCATGGCTCCGTAGGGTGTCTGGAACGTCGTTAGATCTCTCGAAAACTCGGCGATGAGTCGTTTGTCGTAGCCGACGTAGAGGTCGAGCATGCCACCGCATGGTCTTCCTCCGAATTGTTCTGCGAGGTATTCGGGCGTTGGCGGTACACCAGAATGTTGGATCGTGACTGCATTGAGGGGCTCGAGGGAATGGACGAGTCAAAGGGATTTACCGTCCTTCTTGACGACACAGAACCAACGCGATCGATACGACGAGTTCGATGGCTCGTAGACTCCGGCGGCGATCTTTCGCTTGATCACCGCGCAGACTTCGTTGTAGATCCCGGGCGGAATGGGGATATTCTTCTGCACCCAGGGCGTGTGAGGAACGACGGGGAAGTCGACGGGAGGGAAGTACTCGGGCTTGAAGCATCCGCGCTCGTCGTCGGTCCAGGCAAAGGCTTCGTTGTGCAAGCACATGAAGTGGTGGAGGACTCGACGCTCTTCGGGAAGTAGGAAGTCGCCGTCGTGAAGCTTTTCGGTCATTTCGAAGCGTTCGAGGGTGTACTGACCGGTAGGTTTGAACGGCGGGGGGTCGGTCGAAAGCTTGGGCATGATGGAGAGAGGGTCGCCCTTGATGTCTCGAAGTATACGAAATTGTTCGGGGACGGCACCAAGGACGGGTCGAGTTTTGAGAACGACAGGCTTGTACTTCTTCTTTGTCGCGGCGAGTATCTTGTGCGTTGAAGGGGTAGAAGTCGATGTCGTCGAAGGAAAGGGAAGAATTGAGTTGGAGAACTGTGAGATGGATTTCGTCGGAGCGGGAGCTGGCGGAGTCGAAGCGAACGGAGCTGAGAATAGAAGAGTCGAAGCCCACGTCGAAGCGTTCGACGGAGCGGCATTAGAAGCCGTACTGTCCGAGGCGTAAAGAGACTGCAAATATGAAGAAACGGAGGTGCATGCGGAGAGGTACAGTGACGAAACAGCGTTCGGAATTGAGGAATCAATAGGAGAGATGAAGGAAATACTCGGTTTTACCCCATCGTAGTCGATGACTAGCATGGCTTCTCCTTGATCATGGGGAATCGATTCCTCGAAGCAAGAAAATGTGACTTGCGACACTCAAAAGGATGCTGCTGGCTTTGTGATCTTCCTTGCGTGTACGTCGGAATTGTGATGGTTTTGCCGGTGTTCGGGCAGAGGATTGTAATGGTCTGGTTCTTGTCGGCGAAGTTCTTGACGACGCTCTGCGTGAGCATGTTGAAGGGTCAGCCAAGGAGGATGTTGTACGCTGCGTTTCGAATGACGTGAGCCTGGAGATACAATACGATCTCACCGATGCGGAAGGGAACGTTTCGAATGAGTCCCAGCGATCGGTCCACCTCGCCGTTCGCCGATTGCATGTTCAGC